TGTGGCACGGTTTTCGAGCCATTCTAGTAGTCTCTCAGCTCGTCCGTATGCAACATTGCCTTATTACGCCATCAACGAAGACTTGGGCACTACTGTAATAAGATAGTGGTTCATCCCTCGTTTCTGGTGAGGCGCCACTTTTGTGCTTGGAATTAGCCTCCTTGTACCTCGCTGGGTGGGCTGGCCTTTTGGGCCATGCTAATAGCCCAGACACCTTCTCCGTGCTGAATATATGTATTCTGCCCGAGTATTGTGTCTTCTTTCGTCTTCAGGGAGTCTCGGGACGCTGCACTACATCTGTACTCCTTTATTTATCGTTCCTCAATAAGGAATGTCCTTTTTCGACTTATCTAGCAGTTCCATGTAACAACTATAAAATCATTCTATTTTTATCGGAGATTATGACTAGCAAATTCGATTTAAAACCTAGGCTTTGTTTTGATTGTTAATAAGAAAGAAGAGTTCTTTTGAGGCCCTCCTGCAAACTCAATGAAGATGCACATAATTTTCGCAAAAAACCCAAGATTTTCAGCAATGGTTAGGGTCACAAGCATGCAAATAAGCAATAAAATTGCACACGAACAAAATAATGTTAGGCGCTTTTGGGACATTACCTAACCTGCACAAATGCATGTGTTGCATCGCTGCGATCTATTTTTTTGCAATACAGTTTTTCGTATACTACAAAATACCTTAATGTCAACCAAACGTTTAATATTAATGGTAATTAATAATGCCATCATTAATATCACTATACTAATCAGTAGGAATATTAGTAATCTTAAGTGACAGCTTGCTTGGTTGCTATTTTGCCCCAGAAGAAATAAAACATGGCGTTTTCGATGATTATACTGATAAAGTTTAATAAAAATAGATAGTAGCGTTTACTATGTCTGCGACAGTAACATTTTGCCCGTTATCGCTAGATGTGAACATTGTAAATGGACAAATCAAATACCCGCGCATTTGAAGTGCAGCCAGTCTAGCCCGTCTAATTCGTGACCGATTCTTCGCCGCTGGCGTACTACACACCTGGATGACATCGGCAGAGCCCTCAATTAATGGTTCTGTGACTAGGCTCAGGAAAGCAGACGATGTGCGCATTGAACTAGGCGAATTGACTGTACACAATGTAAATCAGCTAAAGATTATTAATAGAACGGTTTTTCCTGTACATTACACGGACAAATTCTACACTGATCTTCTTAAACAACCACAACTCTGCCGGCTTGCTTACTTTAATGACATAGTTGTTGGTGCAGTTTGCTACCGATATGAGAAGGTGGACGGGTCGGATAACCTCAAGAAGTGTTATATTATGACCCTGGGTTGTCTGGCGCCTTATCGTCGTTATGGTGTCGGTTCTTTGCTTCTTCGCCATGTTCTGCGGAAATGCACAAAAAATAAGCAAGTAAAGTCAATTTATCTTCACGTGCATATTGAAAATGATGCTGCTGTAAGGTTCTACGAGAAGTTTGACTTCCAAATCACGAGAAAGATTGAAAATTATTACCACCGGCTTTCACCGCAGGATGCCTACATTCTGGAGAAACAGTTGGACCACTCCGTTCCAGTCAGTGATTCAGATTCTGACTAAATATATGCCCGTACTACACACGAATATTTACTTTGCCACTTCCTCATGGGTGGGCATTTTAACTTACTTGATGCAGCTTCTGTATGCTAATACTGTGTAACACTAGTTGCTCTGGATTTTCACTGCCTAGTTTTATATTTTCTTGCCTATTTGCTGTTTTGTGTTCTGCACATCGACTACATTATTGCCTCTAACTATCGTTGGTTTTCATCGACATTCTGGCAAAGTTAAGCGTAGTGGTTTTGCTTTTAATGCTCGTTTCATTCCACCAAAATAAAACTGTATTTTATATTATTTCGTATGGCAAAAATTTTGATCTACACCAATTGGGATTATGTACCTGCTACACTAGGCGTTCTTAGAATTGCTGAGTAATGGGGTTTCTTTTCAAGAGCATGAAACGATCGTCTAATGGAATGCCAGTGAATAAACAGCATAAGTGATTGATACTCTCTTTCACATTGCCCACCGTTTTTTTATTGTATTCTGGATAATGAGGTTTTGTAATTTTAACTTTCCGTGGTTTGACTCGGTTGTATCCGTGCTGGGGATTATCATACCTGTTAGTTTAGCGAAATTGAGTTTCGGTATGTTTCCAAATCATGCTTGTTTTTCTACGTTGCTGAGTTTGAAACAGGAAGTTTGGTGGGTATGCAAACATCTTCTTTGCTATGTACTACATTCTTTAGCTTGGACTCCTGCCAGATTATACTACTGTATCAGTTGTACCCTAATTGAGACGTACGCGCGCAAAAGCTCAGCCGTACCAGCTATTGGGCCAACTCTATCTTTTGGTTTTATAAAAATTCACTGCTGTACAGAAGTCGTATGCCTTGGTCGGTGCCTCGGTGACTACGCCTGAAAAAGGTTTCTGTAAGACGGTAGACTGCGGAAAGGCACCTTCTTGCCTCCTATCTTTGTGGCTCACGTGGGTTCATCTGATATTTAAATGCACAAGCCTGTGGTGCAAGTGCAACTCGTCGCAAGCGCCAAGTGTACCAAGCCATAATTGTGATTGAGCACATACAAGTTTTCTCCGGGGAGTTATATATCTCGCCTTTGAAATACACGCTCTTGTTAAACTAGTTTTCTAGTTGTAACTTCATTCTCATAGTTGGATTTAAATGATCCTAATTTGCAATTTTCTGACCCACCGAAAGGCGGTAGCTAACGGCGTATCGCAGTTCAAAGGTACGCGGATGACCATCTGGGCGCCTTGACGTTAACATGGTCTGGATAGGAGACGACATTTGTGGGAGATATCATGAGGTCAGTTTCCCTTCACCAGATGGGACTTTGAAAATGAATTTTATTTCTCCAAAAGTGCACAACCACTGTTCCAAACGTAAATCCTGTAGTTCCAAAAGGCACTAAAGCCTCACATACGATGCGCAATTAAGTAAAGCGAGACCTCTGGAGTTTACAAAAGAACAGGATGAACTTTGCAAGGTTAAAATACACTTATTTTTACCATACACCGCGACGTTTTCGATGTAATCTAGCTCTTAAGTAATACTAGAGAAGCTTTGGGGCGGGAAGGTTCGTCAGTGCAGCTGAAACATCCCGAGGCAGCCTACTTCACGCCGTTCTCGGGCTCAAAAATGTATCGAATTCGAATCTTTCCATGATTTAAGTGCGCGTTTTGTTCCTGTGAGGAGATCATGTGCCCAGGTTTTATCGCTTGTCATGCTACCATCCAGAAATTCCGGATCGTTCTGCTTATTGGAAGCAGAAACTGTCGAAGTAGCCAGTGCGCACGCGCTAGCTTTTTTAAATCACAGATGTCCACCATTTTCGTGAAAACATGCCCCTTGCACAACTTAATGGTAGGCTATGCATCGACCATTCAGGCTCAGGCGCTCCATGTAGCAACTGAATGTTCGCAGCGTTAAATGACTGTAGAGGCTGTGCAATGAGAGCAGAGTCGCCGCGGCCGTGGTGCAAGACTAATCGTCTTTTAAATGTCCTACCGTTGAACGTCGCACCGCCGCAGCTTGTTACATTTGAAGTCACTTGTAAATGCAAGTAGATATTTGGGGTTCCGAGTTCGCAGAAGGCTTCGGTACCCCGCACTTCCACGCGCGTACCTACTACCACTGTGGCCTGCCATCTTGATTAATGTCCAAGCCAGGCAAGAAGGGTGCGCCGTCCGCTGCAGGTAGTGAAGCTGCACAGTTGGCACTTCCTACTCCAACTGGTGCTCCGACGGTAGCACGTTTTTTTGTGTAGGTTTCTGCGACACTAAGTCTCAGTTGGACTTGAATGACTTTCACGAGTTTGGCCGACCAACCGCTAAGGTCAGTGGCTTGATACGGAATTTGATCACGTTTTGTGAATCTGCGCCTTTTGAGTTACTCTTGTGAGAGAGAGTTTCTAAAAGACGCATCTAGCATCACGCGCCATGGCGACAAGTAGCCTGACGAGCATTCCAGCCAAGCGACTTCGTTTACACACAACTCACGGTGTGTTGAAGCATGCACGTGTGCTTCAACGCTGAGAGTGGTTTGAACCTTATACCAATTGTATTTCACGAACTCTACGTAAAAATGACGAGTTTCCTTTGTGTAAGCTATCTTCTACAACTCATAAAACAAACGTGTATTCCGTATGAGCATTGCTAGGCGACAATACCACGGTATAAATGCAAGGTCGTTCGATGATGCAGAAGCAAATTTATGACAAAATAGGGGGACAGCTAACAAAAAAGTAGTCGGAGACATAAAAAAGTATATCAATAAGGTGATAATGTTGAGCGGTGTGCATCGCCTCAATTGTCCTCAAATTCGCCCTCCTCCGAAATCGCACTGCCCGTGGAGGCTTCTACTCTCCTTGGTGGCGATGCAGACGCCGGTTCATCTTCAGTATCCTTCAGCAGACTCGCTAGTAGACTCTTCAGCCCGCCCTTAGCTCCCGCGGAATCTGTGAAGTCCTTGGCAAGGGTAAATTTGGCCTCCTGTCGGTGGAGGAGAGGACAGCTGTTTCGATAATGCGGAGAGGTGGTAGTGGAGGCAGCGGCACTGACAAATCTTTTGCCTCTCCGCCTTCGCGGTCGTTCATCCTCGGAGTCGCCACCGCGGCCGCACTGGTAATGCCAATCCCAGACTTCTCTAAACACTTGTTTTGAGCTACTGCTGCTGGAGGTAATAGAGGTGGAGGAGGTGCTCGTCTCCGAGTAGACGAAGAAGAGATCGATAAAGCTGCCTAGCAGACGAAGCAAGGGTTTGTCTTGGGGTTCCGCCTCGACTGTAGGGGGTGGTGGTGGATCAGAGGCTTCAACAAAAGTCTCTGGAGTAGTTTCCATGATCTCAGGAGACTGCCGAATGGGACTAGAGGAGGTGGTAGTGGTGGCCACTGAGCGGCGATGTGATGAGCGAAATGAGGAGCGACGACACCAGGAGGAAGACGAAGGTGTCTTGTAGCCAATACGGTTACCCCGAGAGTCGTCAAAGAGGAGTAGAGTGAGGATTTGGGTGAAGAGTTCACCCGGTGAATCACCACCCACTGAAGTTGCCAGGGCTAAAAATGAAGAAAAATTTCCAATGTATATTTAGTACTGACAAACGTTCAGTAGGATTGGATATCAGACGAGATAAGAAAAACACGAATTTATGTTATTATCGGCGTAAAGTCAATAAATAAACCTAACCATTCTCTTAATTTGGCAGGTGGATACCGCTAGATTTAAAGTTCATATTCATTTTGTTCGAAAATATTGCGAAATTAGATTAGTAGCCCTACCTAGCACCAAATTTCGTGCCTTTCGTTTAGCTAATAAATATGCAAAATCTAAATCAACGGACCCAGAAGTTGAGGAGAAATAGCCAAGGTTATGTCGAAAACTTTCCATACGATGCAGATACAAGATAAATGACTTACGTTCCGGAGCTTCCAGAATATTCACGACCACCAGTATCACACCACAAAGAAGGGCTGTTTCGGCGTCCGGCTAAAAGTAAGGTCAAATATACCAGAACCCAAACAGCATCTAAACGGTAATTAGACAAGCGACTCACGGTGATAGCCGTCGCAAGGGATTCGATGAGCTCACTTTGGTACCAAAACTGACTCCGAGCGTCAGCATTAGTGAGAAGATTAGCCAGAACTACCATCGCCTTAGAGTAAAAAAAGACCTAATCAATGGTCCTGCTTTTCTAACAAACGATTAATGAATACCCCTAAGGCCCTATTCTAACTGAATTAGTACTGTTTAGTAGAAATAAAAGAATACGTGGTGGCACCAAGTCTTCAACAGGATAATTAGGTAAAACGAAACATTATGCAGAAATATGGTAGAAATCGGTAAGACTGCATGACAGTTAGCAGTGACAATAGGGTAAGATGACTTGATTGCCAGAAAAAAAAACAATAATATTTATTGTGATAACCCTAGGGACAGAAAACCTACCTCATACTTGGCACTCGTAGATTGATTCGATGACAACACCTTTGCCAACAGAGAGAAAACGCCCTCACTGTAGTCCGTCACTTGTACCTACGGTTAATGCAAGAAGGTGCATGGCTGCATGACATCTGACCACACATCTACACCAAGCCACCACATGACAGCAGTACGCATTAAATAATTGTTACTTAAAAGACAATAAGTAGATGAGGACACACCTCCTTCAGAGCGAATATGTTGCGAAGTAAGAGAAGGCTCTTCTGAATAAAGTACAATTCCAAGTGAGTTCGGGAGGGTTTAGAGTTGAGAACACTTCCACTTGTCTCAAATACCACCGTCTTCTCCTCATGTCTGCCTACCGCAGGAGCATCGCTACAAATAGAATAAAAGGATGTCGCATTTAAATGTCTAATGGCTGTCTTTGATCATACGAAAATAATCCCCGTTGAGATGAGAGCGGTATTATTGATTATTCTGGAAAAATAAACAGAAGTTTGATCCTTTTTAACTTCAGCAAACCGTGGGCAATGGTTGAGGTATTTGAAAAGAAATGCAGATATGCATTAAATGTAATAAATCGACAATAAAAGCATCAACAAACAATTTATGTCAAGTAACTTGGAAAAGTAGCGCAGAGGAGAAAAAAAACATCCCCCATCAGACTGACCAATGGAGATTCAAAGACATGGGTGTGTAAACCCAATGCCCATAAAGCACGTGATGATAATAGCAAGTTCCCACTCCTTTTGGGTGTGTGGGGAAATCCTGCTACAATAATCGCAAAATCATTAAGGTTACTTTTTTTCAGATCATTGCTGCATAAACCCACAAAATTGTGCAAAAAACTGCGGAATGATGAACTTGTTAACGTTTGAAAGGTGTAAAACTAAGCAAACAAATTTCAGAGGATAATATGTTACCCTCATAGTTGCAATTGATGATCTTCAGTCGACGCATTTGTATGTTCGTTTTGATTGCAATTCAAACACGTGGACCCTCTAGCCTCCGGTTTCGGCCACTATCTTGGTGACATGAGGCTCTGTTTGTCATACTCACTAACAGTTCACTAACCCTTCTGCATAATTATAATGAAGTTCAATTTGGAATCAAAATCTTCAAATGTCTTCAGGGAGGACTTGAACGTTACAAACCACTTTCAAGCTCGAATTTCACGTTACTTTAAACTGACCAATCACCAACAGGTGACGAAGGAGAGAGGAGAGCACTACATTGGGAGATGACTTCGGGAACAGTGCGAGCAGTGTCCAGACGCTCAATCGCCTCCAGCCGGTTGGCCAGTCGATTAGAGGCAGCAGTGGCAGCCGCACTGGCCAGACCCCAGACACCGTTCAAACGGAGGGAGAGTGCGATTTCCACTTCCTCACCATCGACACGTAGGAGGGAGTGAAAGACGTCAATGCATTTGACCCGGGACATCTGGAACTAAGAATTCGGCAAATACCTGAAGCAGTCTGAAACAACTGTTTCAACCTAGCTGGCAATTATCTAGGGAAAATTCATGGGAGAAATTTTCATTGAGGTTTCAGGCACAGCAAGTTGATATCAGATTCTGCGGACTAGTTATTTGGACTGAGAATATCGTTTCATAAAGAGAAAATGCGTTTGTGAGAGTGATATGTGAAGTTTAATGCAATGCGTTCACCCAAAATACATCAATGTCACCAGCTTCAATGAGCATGTGTCCAAAACCTTTAGGCCGTGAACATACAAAGCGAAACATTTTAATGTTTCAGGCTATGAGCTAACAGTGTTCCACGCAAGTTACATGTCAAGGCTAATCTAAAAATAGAGCTTAGCAGAGCATGATCTTGTACGAGCGGTGATAGTTAATTTGTGAAGGAATAAAAAAGCAAAACGCATCAGAAACTGAGACTGGAAACAAATAGAAACATCTCTTGCGTGAGTAAAAAAGGGATTCCAATAGGATGAAAAGGGACTAAGATTGTTGCTTTAAAGATGCCAACGGCAGTAGCTTCAATGAGCATATTTTCAGACTGTTGATAGTGGGACGCCAAGATTTATTAGATATGCTAGGTTCTAGTAGCCATGCCCGGAAATTCAAGATGAACTAATGGTCTTGATGTCAGGCATTTAAATAGGAGTAACATGTTTATAATGTGTTAAAACACGTCTATATTGTAATACCATGGTCATTTAAAAAAAAACAACAAAATTGCATTAAATTTGAGCTATTTAGACTTGAGATAATGAGGTCGTTAGCATTTGAATTCTGACATCCATTTAATGTTAGGTTACTGAAGTGGTAGATGGAGTACGACCCTCACATCAAGATTGGGAAGTTGACAGAGTTGGAGATTGACCAGCGTTGAGGAGGCAGCGAGCACGATTTCCGCATGATTTGGATCGGACGAGACCGTCGGCAGAAGACGAGTGCACAACTGCGAAAATAGTAAACAAGTTAGGTTAGTACCTTAGGGCTGTCTTATCTGAGAGCACTGCGTTCAAACGATTTATGTGATTTAATAGGGAAGTGGAGCTAGAAGGGTTTCAAGTGGTATATTTTCGGTAGTAGAACAAATATTTAGCACACCTACCGGCTGTTGAAGAAAACTCTAAGTGACCACATGACCTAGAAAGTTATTAATTGGGGACATCTAAAACCCAGATTATTGGTAATGAAGACAAAAAACATGGCAGTCTTGACTAGAAATCTGCAGACAAATGGCGGAACCAAGGCCTTGTTAAGCCAGTCCTTGAAGGAAGCATGAATGTCAATAAAAAAGGAATAATAAATAGGTCATCATTGTAATGCTCTGTTTATTTGTTTAACCCTGTTTTGGTTTCGTGGACACTTAAGGCTCCACTTTTGTACTTCTGCTGGGTGGCATTATCTCCGGGCCATACTGGTAGCACCCAGCTCTTCTGTACGCTGATAATAGATATTTTGCCCGAGTATTATGTCTTCATTCGCCCCCAGGAAAGTCTCGAGGCGCTACGCCATCGAAACTATTTCCTCCCAATAAATAAGTCACCGTCCTATTCATCAAAAGGAAAAGACTAGAAGTCCACAAAACCCTACTTCTACATCGATAGAGGAGGACAGAGAGGTGGAATAACTCAACAAACCAACCTCGATTAAGCAGTCTATAATTGAAACATCGCTGAAGAGGGTGTGCAGTAGAGCGGCTGATCGTGATAACCCGTGAAGCAGTTGACACACAGCAAGCTAAAGGGATGAGATAGCATCAGGATTGTTGTAAAACAACGATAAATTTCAAACCTACTAAATATGTGCTGCAATAATATCGCATTATGCTGCTGTGACGTAAGAAGCAAGTCCTTAGTAAAAAATGCGCTGCAATGGAGCAATTAAAGCAATTTTTATGCTAGAATGGAAAAGTGGTCTGGGAATTTACGGATGGATGAGCAATGTGATGGCGAAAATCTGGACTGAATGCGAAGAGTAGCAGTAGTGAGAGAAACAAGTAATTAAAAGGGCTAGTACCGTGAGATTGAGACTTGCGGTGGAGGTGCTTGTGGTCAAGGAGGGATGCGTGATGAACATCTGGATGAGAGCTCTAGTCATTGACAAATCACCGATCTGAAATTAGACGATTAAGAAGGTAAATAGTTGTCATTTACACCTAAAATAAGGACTTTGATGAAATCGCTGACAATACACGCATTCACTTGACTGCCCATATGGTCTACTGCTCAGGAAAATTTGGGACTTATTAGTCGAAATGTAGTTTTATGCATTCAAAAAGTGATTCCCGTGACCCTATTGAAAGCATTACAGACGCTTTTGATCGGAATATAGTTATAATTCTTGTTAGCTCTGGAGCAGCTTGACTTTTGTGGGCTATGGTGGTCGACTTTCTTCGATACCTTAGCAGTGGAGATGGTAGTAGGTCCACAAATACAGCACTGGACCTGAACTGATTCAGCGTCTTTTTTAGTGCAATGTCTGTTGAAATGGATGACATCGTCACTCTTCAGAAGGGAACTATGAAATACAAGGAAATGAAATGAACCCGCCCACACAATGCAAGTATTTGCGCCAGAAAGAAAAGTATATATAGGGGAAGTATAACTAGATGCACATGAAGTAGTGACATCAACATCGTCCGGCACATGTATAGCCCGAACAAATTATTTTGATATGCCTTAACCCCTCTAATAAACAAAAATTTACAGAAATCAACTTACTCGGACACGAACACCTTCACAAGTAGAGACAAGACAGGCAAAAAGGCGAGAGAAGGGGATGAGTTGTTCCAGAAAGTCGGCGTAGTCATCCTTATAAAATGGATTAAAAGGGATGGTTTAAAGCACTTGCAGGCTAGCCAGCAATGCTAAAAGTCCAGACACTTCAGCCACTCAAAAAGGACTAATCACGAAGTATTATGCGCTCATATGAGGAAATTATTGTGAAATAAGACAAGTTACATCGTAATGAATGGAAATTCATTTCACCACGAATATCACTGCGTAATTGGCGTAGGGTAAGGGAGAAACCGTGTGACAGTGTGAGCATTTCACATTTGCAAGACTTGACAATTAGTCAGAAAAATGCTGGCAAGGAAAGAATTCTGGCACTGAAAATTATAATAATTTGGCGCTTTTAAAAGGCCTCCCACAAATGTACCTTTCAGAAAAACAGCTAAGCGTTGACCGTACCCCCAAATGTCAATCGGGAATATCTGATAAGACAGCTCGGTTCGTTGTTTGCATAATTCCAGGGCAGATCATATTTGCAGAATGCAAATATGACATGAACCTCCTACAGCAGTAGGCAGTTGTGTACGCCAAAAAGAAGCTGATTTAAATGTCATAAAAATTGCAAGAAATACACTATTTTGACGTCGAAGCAAATGATAAAAACTAGTTTATCGTAGTGTGTGTATGGAATATCATGTGACCAAAAGAAAGTCGAAAAACAGTGAAGAAAGGCTTCGAGTACTTTTTTCAAAAACTAGCCTCACGGAGTCCGAGCTAGACAGCAAGCCAAATTCCGATGCAAATTCATTTCAGTATCGCAGTCCCACTATGCCTTCAGTGGAGTTTCTAAGAAATAATTTGCATCAATACTTGAGCCTCATCCCTTTTCCAACCCTTTCTTGACACCCGCTCAGGCACAAATCCGCCACCTGTTCCAACAAGCAAAATACTTCCTTTATTTGACCAAGCTTTCAGTAAAACCATTCCCCTCGTTTTACCGCAACTGCGAGATTTTTGGTTGTTTGCCAGCAACTATACGATGGTCCTGCCTGACCTCGGTGTAAAAACTGCCCGACACGAGTTCTTTATCAACTTATGCCAACAGTTTGTGTAAAACTGTATCACAAACAGACTGACTGGGTTTGAACCACTAAAAATAGATGTGGAAAGCCTTTGGTCTGATGATAAACAAGTTTTTTTTTAGTCACTGAGCGGCAGTCGGACCAGTCAGTTCGGCAATGCAAGCGTCGGTACCACATAACAATAAAACAATCGGACCGCAGTGGTCGACTTTCCCTTAATGCTGGTGGAAAATGTTCAAAGCTTTCCATGAGTTATAACGCCTTGGGGAACTTGTCTTCAAGGCTGCTTACGCCACAAACTTACTTCATGGAATCATCCTTTCAAACTACGCTAAACTCACAATATCTAGGCAAATAAATCACTAGCCTAGAATGAATTGGTGCAGTTTAGACCGACCGAGGCATATTTTACAAGAAAACATCACTCTAAGTGAAGATGCATGTCGGCGCTATTAACGACTGACAACGATTTAAGCCATCGGAATTGGCAAGGGAAAGACAGTTCTGTCACCCAGTGGATCAAAAGAACGGACCAACAGTTCATGAAAGTGAGGAAGTGTACAGCCATTCGTGACGTCGAAAATGGAATCTTTAATGATCTTATAGAGTTTGGAGAAGTGAAACAAAATGGTCACTTCACATATGGCACAAGCAACCAATCAGAACTTCGATGTCTAGGCCGAGGTGGAGAGACGAAGAGGTAGGTTAGCACCTTCGCTACCACCGCCGTCACATGTATACAACGCCCCAATTTTCTTATCCAAACATGGCGCTACAAATGTCTGAAATGTTTTCCTTAGCAGTCCTTGATAACAGGCAGTGCAAAATCGTACTGCAAATTAATTATTTTAATTTAAAGTGGTAGAATGGATGTAGGGTACTTTTGATCTGTAGATAATTACATCTTGGAGTTGAAGTGGTCAAGCGATTTAAACCACTTCGAATGGTGTCACATATGACATCTAGGTTATGGCAGTTGATTTTCCTCAACGAATGTGGCAGAGAATGCGTTTTAATTTTCATCCCTATTAGCCCTTATGGAAATGAATAGCTGATGCAAAATTACCACACTCAGATACCTAGAAATTGAGATGCTCATACTGACTCTGGAGGTTAGACACAAGCTTCAACAGATACGCAGTAATTACACCAGCACTAAGTTAGAAGGATAAAAGGAAGAATGTAGAATAAAAGACAATGTGTTTAGATTAATCTACCACACATATCGTGACGACTGCTGGAAAAATAAGGCCCCAGAATAAATCCAAAGGAGTTAATTATCTTTCGAAAAATAATATGCAATAAAACATCTTGGAAAGACACATAAGGTTTTGAAAACAATGATTAAAGTAGTGGTGCATTATATCAATTATGCAGTGCTTCAGTAGAACTGCTTCACATCTTTGAACACTAAATTGAGTCCGAGGACTTTTCATTAGAGATTCCATCGAGTTCCTCATTCATCCGAGCGCTTCACAACGCGCACAGAAATGAGTAAAATTTAACTGCAAACAAAGTTGAACCCATTTCTTATGAAAAAAATAACTGTACAAAGGATGCGCAGCATGAATCGAAGATAGCTTTCGGAACGCGGTCAGAAATTGGTGCTCCTTCACAGGATTCACCATTCCACTGCGGGATAAACAAGATACCGCATAAGCTTTTCGAGGCACGCAATAAAACTTACGGTAAAAAAATGCGCAAAAGACGAAATAAACCATGAAAGTGGTAAGTGACACCGTACATATTGATAAGATTGCAGTTTGATAAAAATAAATTCAACGCTGCAAGAGGCGAGCCTCCGTGTATTAATCTAAATTTTAAAAATATCTACAGAACTTGATAACCAAGTCAAAACAAAAGCACCCAACCAACCAGAACTTGAGACTCTTTTTGTTTAATAGTTTCAAAAGGAACTAGGAGTCATGCCAACTCGTGAGATGCATAGTAGAAATTATTATGAAAGCTATATTCAATTAAGGGTAAAGTCAACAAATGAGGGAAATAGCCGTCAGTCTCACCAAGGGATTGAAATGTTAAATATGCTCAATTTAAAAGCATTAGACTATTACAAAATCCATTCACGAGGAATCCTATCAGGATAGTTTATTTATTTAACAGTGTAGTGTGCTGAACCGCTAATCGAATGTAATGAGACTACGACTTCGAAACCAAAAACTTCACTCTCTAGGTTATCTGTTTCAATGATAAGAAGCATGGATTGAAAATGGTCTTCAAGTTGCAGGATAAAATCGGCATGCGTTTATCAAATTCGTAGTTCCATAAGATTTTACATAAACCCTTCAAAATAGGGTAAAATTTGTAACAAAAACCGCATGAAAGTACGAAATAACGCGGTAGAAGATATATTGAGTTGTGATAAAGCTGGTCATCATACCATCTCTACCAAGGGCTGTTCGAGTTTGCTAACCTTTTTGGCATTTTTTCAGTGTGTGCAAAAATAATCGTGTGCTAATCGCCGACCACGTGGAATGGGGACGCGACTTCAAACCACAGGCACGTGAGAAGTCGAGCAAAAGCTACCACAAGCATAAAACGAGCAGCTTTCGAAATGCAGTTAAGAGAAGCGAACTCACGTAGTCGCAGGTGGGTTGGAGGGCCTTGAGCAGACAGGAGACAGTGTCATCGAACTCGGGAGTAAGGAGTTGGCTGTAGAGCAGGCGGCGATGGAGGCTACGACGCTGCTTAAGCACCAACACCACCACGTGGCAGGCCCATGTATTCACACCCGTGCCACTCAGTGGGAGGCTATTCTGCGTCAGCGGCTGCAGGATCTAAACGAAACCACTTCATCCCAATCAATGGTTCCGGTGGTAAATGCCCTATTCGTGCCATCTTATCTGATGCTGCATATACCATTGAGTACCTAGTAGCCCCCAGCCTTTGTGCCTTCTTCCATTGAATCAGTTAAAGCGGTTATGTCTTGTATTTGCATTCAGAAAGCCTAACCAGCGCACCATTGCATATTGCCCCTCTAAAATTAGACACCCATCCTAATTTTTTAGTCTTGCAACTAAGCATCAAACTTTTTAAAAGCCAATGTATGGCTTAGAGTATGACGCAAATTATCCGGAAAAAGAACTATTTTGCACTAAAACTTTGTGCCTGTCTTGGGCAAAAGGTGTTTAGAAGGCACTACAATTAATGAGCGAAAAATAATTCTTGAATAATTCCAAATGGATAATGTAATTGGCAAAATTCCGGTGGTTTCCAAACCTCATCATTGTTCACCCATGACTAAAAATAAATTTTAGTCAGAGTACAGCGCAACGACAGTGAATTAAAGATTAGGCGAGAAGGCGAAAATTGGACCATTTTCAATGTACTTAATTCCAATAGGTATAAGGAAGGGATTTGGTTTAAAAAATCCCAGAAGCAGAATCGGGCCAATAGTCTTTTTAAGGCGCAAGTGAGATGTGATCACACTACACACCATCCGACCTTAGATCTTTGGACGAATCCAGCTTCTCAAGAAATTGCGCACCACGGACAAATGGAAATACAACTACTTATATACGAAAGCTTTTTTTCATAAGACTTGGAAGCAAGTACACAAATGAACCACCTCTAAAGAATTTGCCTAACATCCAAAAGATCTATACAGGATTTAAAAAAAATAAAGATATCAAAACAGCCATATAATTGAGTTAAATAATTTTCAGAAATCAGGACGCTTCATTTATGATATTTTGTCTTCACGGAATCTTTCAATAATGATAAATACTAAGTACATTTTTTCATTTAACTGACAAAATATACCCCTAATTTGCATGCCACAGAGTTCCCATTAAGTCTGTTCTATGATCCTATAAAAAGTGCAAAGAATTAGAGCCCCCTTTTTACACGAACCTTTAAGGAGATCTGATCGTCAGAGAGACCCAGCCCGTCAGCACGCAGGGTCTCACGACCAAAGCGGTCACAGGCAACGATGACAGTATTTGTCTTCGAGAAGGAGTCATCGGTAGCAGCGGAGGAGCAGCAACAGCGCCAGAACAGGACACCCCTTAGTAGACCCACAAGGAGACACATGGTGCGATCTGCGGTGCCCGAGAGACCGAACGCCCCATCGGGCGAACAGAGACCCAGGGAGTCCATCATCTCCGCTTCGGTTTCTGTCTCTTCCTCGTTGTCATAGTCGCCGTTTTCGTCAATGTTGCTATTCTCATCGAGAGATCGGCCACTGAGACGGTAGATGAGGTGGTCACTGTGCGTCTCGCGGTGGCAACAAAGAGAGCTCACTTTGGGCCCGCCTCGGAAGCCCAAGTAGCAACGGGAGTAGGGTTGCGATAGATGCGAGTAAATAGAGATTAAAGCTGAAGGGTCTGTCTCGCACAACACTACAACAAAGACGGTCTCGATGCAAATATTGGCTTTTTGAAGGTTATGCTACCATCGAGTCGCCACAGTGCGTGTGATACCAATCTCCCAAACTTGTAAATCTGTAATAATGGCACCTTCAGACCTACGTGGCCTAGAGCTCCCTCAGAGCTAACCCAGATGCGTTGGCGAAACCGCTTTACAAGAATAGCAATCGTGATCTTGCTGAATGGAAGAAGGGTATCTGCTGCGAAGACTGACAACATAGGGACGGTTGAATAAGCATCAACTTTTGGCAGGTATCCTGATATCAAGTCGTGCATAATGATCAGCAAGAGAACGAGATCTCAATTGAAGGAGCCGAAACCGTCCAATATAGAGCCATCTCAATTAATGATATAAAACCAAAAATTTGACCTAAGAGTCCGATTTCCATCTATGTTGTAAGATGCTTAAAACAAATCAGGTGGAAAGCTGGGCAACAGTATGAATGGCATCGCATTCAAAAAGAAGAATGAAAACAAGATGTAGCTTCACGTTGCAGTTGCATCACTGCATTACAGTGATTGGCAGATGAAACTGGTTCATTGCGAAATTTCCATCAAGGTTTCGACAATAATCAATCCAAATTCACTTCACCAAGTCAGCGTGACAGGTGGGCCCTTCAAAATCAACGAACTACGCAGCTGTCAATAACATAAGAGGTACCATCACAGCGATTGTTATTCACCTTGCCATATATGTCAGGCACTAACCCAATCGTACCACTGTTTTAATGGACCTTTTTCAATGCTTTTCAATCAGAGAAGTGCAAGGAAATCCACCGCTAGAAGCTAATTCAAAACATGTTTCGCGGGTTCTATTTTGTAGGAAAAGTGTTAAAGCGCAGTGCAACGCAAGTACAAGAACTACTAAATAATAGAATATCGCTCTAATTTCAACCAATTTCACCAATATTACACAAATTCCAGGACGTCATGGGAGGACTTTAAAAATCACTACTTGTTTAGAAAATGGTATTTAAAACAGTTTCTATTAAACAGGAAGGAATTATGACTCAATCGCAGAGCGAAACTACAAGTTTTAGGATGTGTTGAACACTCAGTGCATTGAAAAACGCCATACCAGTGGGAACCGAGAAGAAACTGTGCAAAAGCTCACATGAAATTGAGAAAAGGGAGCCGCTTGGTTGCTCCCTTGTATATTAAACCATTAATAGCGAAGACAGGTCCACTCGCATTAGCTCAACCATGCCGTTCACTTTGCCCAAAAAACATCATATCGGATGAAAAAAACATTTAATTTTAATAAGATTAATGCATCAGAGTGAAATTTGAGTTAAAACGGATGATACATTAGACCGTAACTTTTACTTGGACTAAGAACTCCACAAGGTGAAAAGTGTGAATCGTCAGGCTAAAATTACGATTCAGTTACCAAATGTGTGGTGGTTTGTCATATAAAAGATCGCTTTCTTTTTAAATTGAATCATTTCGCAAATCAAAAAATGTCCTTTTGAGTGGCATCCACCATTCCCATGCCTCACCTATCACGTGACACAAAGTGCACAAATCCAAAATGGAGTGGTCTCCTCAACCAGAATTAAAAATTGGCAGGCTTTCATTGACTAGTCAAAACAAAAGTCAATCCCCCTAGGCTCAGACAACTTGCCCAAATTTAGCCAAAATTCACCTACAAATACCTGAGTCAAACCTTACAAGCTTTTTGCTGAAAGGGTATAAATTTACGCCGGACTTCGTGCAAGAAATAAGCAAGCGTCGGATACGGGAGACCGTTGCAGCTAAAAATAGTCTAGTGCTTTTCCTAATTTCACCAAAAAAAGAGCTATTATTAAACACCAGATTTCCTAAACTCATGGCAAAAGAATCAGTAGCCAGTTTACTCAAAAGTGAAATAAAACAATGTCACTCAGGGGGCAGTCTTTGGTGAATGTGCCAAATTCCTACTTACTGCGAGGTTTATTCCAATCAGATGAGAACTGTCAATTTCACAGAAACGTACACATCAACCATCAAGAGGCCAGGTAGCGATGCTGTTGTTTGCGTGAGGGCGTGCAGGAAAAAGCGCATATACGAAGTCGTGTAGTACTGAAGCCTTTTGCGAACGAGAGTGTAAAACTCGAAACCATGGACAATGACTTGCATTTACAGAGGACTACAGATGCGACAAGCTGCGGTGGTGGGAAGCTTAACAGTAAGACATATGAAAGACCACCAGCCCCCATGCCTGTGCGTTGAGGGATATTCCGGTGGCTCCGTTTTCATCCCACAGCCTTGGCAGTGATTCAATGCTATGAACATTCAGCCAACATGTAGAGCACCTGGATCCTGAATGGTCGTTGTGTAAACCTGGCATTAAACTGCGCAAGGAATAAGTATTCACAGAAATGGTGAATATTTATGCTGCTCGTAAAGCTAGCGCATTCGCGATGGGTTCCACGACAGATTTCCGCATCAGTGATAAAGTGCGGGGAGCCACCCTAGGATGGTTCAGCCGTGGAGATAAATACTTCTATGACAAATTTTTTAAATATTAATTAAACGTCTAGATGACTGTGAAAACATTTCCCAAAGCATGTCAAAAATATGAGTTTTCACATCCCAAAACGTTTTTTGTTACATAAGTTGCAAAGATCCGATTTGACTTGAACATCTATTGCATTTCCAGCTGCTTGGTTACGTATGCTATCAGACATAGAGGTTCATAGGGAGGAAAAATTAACAGCAATCCTTGATACCTAGAGTCAACACAGTGAGCAGCATAAAACAAACACAAACTTACCCCTTTTAAACGTCTCAAATGCCAAGGGGACATGGTAGATAGCGAAGAATAATATTTTGAGCGAAAACCTGGCAACCTGAAAATAAAAAAAATGTCACTCACATGTGAGGCTGAGTCAATAAACAAAATGCTAAAATGCACAGCCTCATTTCTATTGTTAAATTTAGCTAAGGTAACGCCATAATATACCCCTCCCTTACCCCACACACGTATTTTAACGGCCCTTGAAATGACAGAGGCAAAAGTACCCCATATGTCACGTAGTATGTTGCTGCCGTAAGAAGATGGGGAAAATGAATGCATTTTAACAGAGATGTTTAGCTGTATTTTACAGCTCTTAGTTAAGGTGACTCATCCTTGAAATATGAAATCGGGTCAACAGGCCTCTGAAAGGAAGGGTGGGTAAAGTGAGTTAATTAACAGAAATGAGACGGGTATAAAATCTGGGCGGTCGACCTGGTCTGTAGCGAAGTAAGCATTATAGGTGGTCCGATTGCAGAGCTCTGCAATGATGAAATGTGCCATCCTTGAAGGAGTGCAATAACAGCCGAAGCGTGCAACTTCATAACGAAAAGCCCCTATCCGGACAGAACTCCTGATCCAGTAAAATTGCCAAGAGGGGTCAGTGACGTTGCGGCCGCATAATTCTTTTTTTAGTTGCACCCAAATTCGATGACTGGCGCAGTTGGTTCGTCAATGTTTTTTCTTTACAGCACCGGCTACACTGTGATGGCCGACGTGAGAGGTTGACCATGGAGAGGGATGGGGAAGATGCTCGAAAAACGAGAGGGACCAGGTAATGCTTTGATCATTTAAACCCCAATTTCGGTTACGCGGGCACTTACGTTCGCGGCATTGTATCTCGGCTGAGTGGCATGGTGTCCGCGCCAACCCAGTAGCCCCCAACCCTTATACATGTCGGTAATACATTTTCTGTCCTCGTATAATGAATTCTCGGCTGCAAAGTGCACCCAAAATGACTCATTAATCATAAAAGGACGGGAAAGGAGGGCCCCAAGTGATGTCATGTCAAATAACGAACGTTTACACAGAAACATCATCAGGAAAAGGTAGGGTTTCGCAAGGATTAAAGTTGCCGCAAAAAGAATTATATCGGGTTGTGAAATGAGGAGACAATAAGCGGAGTTCAAATTTTATCACTTCTTCACAGATATATACCCACGGTCTTTTCACTAAAGTTGATAAAAAGAGTAACGTCATGTACATTCTTTGAACATTGCTTTTCGGTGTCTTCACCTTGGTGGTGACTTTATGGGAAAAAAGGAAAATAAACAGTTCCACACACGTAGCAGTCTAAAACAACGGGGTCATCAAGATGCATAAGTAAACACCCATCCTTGATTAGGTACACCATATGGGAGTTGTTCTGTGACGAAGAAGACGGTTGTGTATAGATATTACTGAAAATATTGCCATGCTCGTGATTCTTCAACTCAATCACCATTGACAGATTATCAAATAGAAAAACATTGCATAAATCCCTTTCCTTCAGCTAAGATTTTCAAATTTCTGCAAATAATTAGTTTTATGTTCTAAGCTGTGCATCTTGTCACCGTTTCGGTCTCATGAATAATTGTGGCAAAAATCACGAAATTGGTAGGATTGGGTTCCGTTTAATTTGCCAAGAAGTGTTCAGATTCCCGGGATTTCCCTTCCTTCATATGTATGACTAGACGACCCCTACGTTATAAGAAATCAGAAGCATCATCGTTGCGTTTCTGTAATCTCCACATGTCCGGATCATTCCATTAAGAGCTTTAGGCTTCACATCAACAATACTGTACCACTCAGGAAAAAAATATCGACGAACTCAGAGGCGATTAATTTTGAGATTGTGCGTTTGTGATGAAATTGTCCATACTTTCTTCCCATTTGAATGCCATTCACATTTATTTTAGGTTCCCAAAACTACTTTCTGGGTCTCTAAACGCCGTTCTATTTCAATTTGTCATAAAGTCGCGCTTTCCATAAATCGTGTCCAATTACCCTAAATCGCATAATTTAACCCATGGAAAGGTAAAATAGAGCTAGATAAAGTTAAGAGAAGATGAACGACTAGCTTTAATTGATATTTGCCAGCCCTGCTTATCACAGAAACCTGCCCCGTAATTGGAAGGGAAATAGGTGAAGATATTAGGATAAAAATGTTGGATAGAAGAAAAGTTGCAGACTGAAATGAACTTTAATGAATCATTCGTATTCTCGCTTCCCTACAACTATTATGATTTGGAAAGTGCTAGGCAACAATCTGAGTGAAGGGTTGTAATCAACCGAAAGAATCCTTAAAGGTCACGTTAATAAAGATGATGAAAGCAGAGAGGTAGAGAGCGCAAGAAATCTTCCAACACTTACGAAAACCATCGATAGAAAGGAGCAAGGGAAAATCTCCAACCAACCTCAAAGCATATTTCATCCATCCAATCTCGATTATTCTCAACCATTGAATATAGCTAGGAAAAGTTGGAAATGAGAGGGATTGGAATAAAATCTAACTACTTTCTATGCCCACACTTCACTCGCTATGGTAATCAGCTGCAAGAGTAGAAAAAATACTTGAAGAAAAGAGGTGACATAAAAATAGGCACTAATTGTCCACATTGATGAACGAGGTAAAAAGAAAGTTAAGCAAGAGAAATGAAGAGAGGAGCAACTAACCGCATGCGCGGCGGCATCGGGACAGGGCGCCGAATTGGCCATATCAAAAGGAAGGATAAGGCCGCGATCCTGGTTAAGGAGAGGTGCGTGGCGTGGACAGGCGGTGGCCATAACGCCACGATGAGCCATGCGCAGCAGCACCGCGCCCCCTCGTCCCGCCAACGTAGCGCACGAGGCGAGGAGGGCGAGAAGTTTGGTGAGGCAGACGAGAGTGTTCGCACCCGCACCGCCTTGGAACCTTTCGACACCCCTTCGCAACGCCTCAAATAGCGCCTCATTGAGGTGAATAAGATCAGCTAACCGATCGATTGTGAAGACATCCTGTACGCAGAAGGGCAAACATGAACCAAGCACGAACTGCTGAGAGAGGGCAATGATGGGCAACTGATGTTTGCGTACCAGAGCGGTGGTTTTCTTAAACGCGGGCAACGACTCAAAGTCCTGGTCCAGGTTGTCAGCTTCGAAAAGGGTTTTGAGTAAGAGCATGATTGCCTCACGCAAAGGGGGATCGGAGCTTTCACAGCTTAAATTTGCTGGGTAATGCAAAAAGGTATTGTCTTAGCCTATTGCTCGATAAGTTTAAATTGATGCATTTGTGAAAAAGTAGCCGGGGTGTTCCTGTCATTTTTGCAACTAAAATCAGCGCAATGTTGCATAAATCTATTTGGCAGAATCCTGTTTGGTTTAACGGTATGCAGGACTTTTTTTATGAGACCCACAACTTTACGTAAATCCAGGGACCCCATCAAGAAAGGAGCCCACGTAAAGACGACCATAAAACGATGGTACAGGTGACAAACTTTCGTACTCAATGGTCAACAAACCGCGTAAGAGGACATTAATGTGAGGTAGTTTTGTTGCTCTTTTGATTCTAAATTTAAACGCACTTATCTCAGATTCATTTTTACCCTTTTGTCAATAACTGTAGGATCCGTTGGGAGATAAAGTCGCGTTAGTGAAGCAGAGCAAGACTGCATATCTTGCGGACATCAGTAATCTTATTTTCTAGATACGACATCATATAACATCCGAAAAGCCCCAAAATAAGTAAATTTAGCATAAAAGAGATGCTTTTTGACTAAGCTTTGTGACCATTGGAATAGCTGTTATGGACAGATGCTCTTAATAGGGGGGAGAATTGAGTCCAAGTGAAACGTGTGACAAGGAAACACTACAATCAGATTATGCGAGGCAAACGGGAAGCCGAATGCTTTGCAGGAAGAAAGCTTTAACTAATCAGATAGCTAACAAAGGAGGATGAACGATCTATTAACATTTCGGCAAATTCAGAGGGGACGAAGAGGGTTAGTGATCAAAGCATATTAGCCTTAAGATTGTCCTTTTACGCATCTCTGCTTGTGGCGGGCCCAAGCTTACCAGAAGGACGGGAGGAAAAATGTTTGCACCACTTTTAGCATCTGTTCTGCAATTCAATAGCAAGATTCGAATTTAATCATATAAATCTACCAAAAATACGAGTGCATTAAATTCAAATAACACTTATTTCGGAAAATTTTCGAAAACGTGTCCTCTTACTATCGTTGCTAATAGTTATTCCAAGAAGTCATCTTCATCGTTGTATAGGAGATAAATTATTGTCGGTTGTAAAATACCTGCATCAAGGAGGTCGTTCAGAAAGTCCCTCCGCTTGCACAATTCCTCGGCAAAGGCAGGACTTTCACGCAAGAAACTGGCGTACATACAGAGGAAGTCTCGTTTGAAGATGGTCGAATATTCAGTGGTTGCCGAAAAAGCCGCAGTGAGAGACATAATTCTGAGTGTAAAATAAACAAGCTTGTTTCGTGAACAAAGGGTGTCCCTATACACAGCGCAGGCGTGTCTTCCAGAACAGGTGTCATACATAAAGCACTTAAATGTCTGCTGAGATACCCTTTGGCTATGGAGAAACGAACTAACCTTCCTCGAATAAGATCATTTTCTACGACGATTCGCTTGTTGATTGGATTCGCGGTGATGAAATTGCGAATACTCCTAAACGGCAGCAAAAAGAAGTGGTGTAGGCTTGATGCCCTTTTAATTTGGAAAGTCCGTTTCCATCACGATTTTAGGCCTTGTTTAAACACTGTATGAAATTGCGATTGATTTTTTGAACTTAACTTTATGATGAAGCGAGGTAAAAAGCTCAGAAAAGACCAAGACGCTGCTCAGTAAAACGAGCATTCCATTTCCACTGACCTACATAGAGGAAGCCCTACGTGAATGATTTTGTCAAGCGAGTACACTAATCAATCCACCATGAAGTAGTAACTACCGCAATACGCAAGCGATAAATAGCGCACGTGCTTCCTGTAAGAACCAAAATGTTTTGGAATAGGTGTTCTTCGAGGGCAGTCCGAAGGCGATTATAAATACTGCCACCGCGGCTCAAATCCTCACAGACCGTTTTCGATTTATGTGAATTAAGAATGTCCAAAAACCTTTCACTCTTCAGAAAAAAAACTAGCACAAGTACTTGTCAAGTTTTATTAACTCTATTACCTTCAAGTAGATTATTCGAAGGTTTGAAGGTTAGTCTACTTCAAATTTCCAGTAAAACAAAGGAAAAATTTAAAAGAAATCCAGAATTCATAGAGCAATAAACCCCAGAGATTCAGCTCAATTTTAAGCGTCGTGCGTTCAAAGTGTTATAACAATTAACACTCAAAGTAAAACAACGGATGATGGTAACCCATAGAAGGAAATAAAAAGCCCTCTGGTGAACTCATGACAAAAACTCTTGAGTGGTGCCGGATGTTAACAGGCTCACCGAATAGCCTTGAGATTGGCCTCCAGTGAAGAAGAGTCGAAATCTCGGATGAAGGTCTCCTCAAGGAGTTGGTTGGTTCTGCTCCACGCCATTGATACACCTGACCACATCCCGGGAGTAGGCATGAATTTGGACGCCATATTTTACATTTCTCCAGAGAGGAAAGAAAAATAGACAAGAAATTTGCACACAAAATAAATTGTAGCGGGTTTATCATGTCCACTCGAGAGAATGGGAAGGCACTCTACAACTTTTCCCTTGTCATCAAAAATGGCATGCACAATGACAGCGAGGATAAAAAACATTACAAAACCATGGCAATCACGTGTTTGTGTGATGATAAAGTGGCCATAGGAATGTTGTCCTCACACGATAAGTTGGCGGAAGAACTCAATCCTGTTGTCAAGTTAATAGTCAACAGCGTACCCAATATCACGCGCTTCGTTACCCATTCGAACCCACGAATAGGCCACCTAAAGGTGCCGTGTCGAGGTGGAAAAAAGAAGCCACACAAACGCGCCTCAATCAAAAAGGGGAGAGGCAAGAGAAAAAAAGGAGAACAGTGACAAAGTAGGCATTTATTTCGAAGAGTTATGTAGTAAAAGTAAGGGCAATGTACATAAAATAGTGAGAGAAGGAGTGCAACTTTAGGCTTGAGTGATGCCACTGCTGCTTTCGTCAAAGCACGGTGTCTGGAACAGAGGCGTAGGGACGATCCTTTGGCTGCGGCGACATCGTTGGAGATGGCCCCAAAATCACAAAGTCGGGAAGATTCCTCCTGGCAATGGACGCACAGATGTATGTACACAGGGTGTGTGCTTTAGATAGCCTTTAGGCTCAAATTAAACCCAAAAACGAGCCGAGTAAAGAGAGCAGGATTTTAGGTTAGTTGGGAGCAAATCGTGAGAAGAAAGGCAAAAATTACATCCCCATGAGCCTTATGATAATGTTAGACCTTTTAGAACAACGATGTGGCGGGCAAAGGAGAACTTCGCTTTGGTAAGGTTAGGAGACCATTGGTGGCTTACCATCCTTCACAAAAAAAAAACACTCGATTAGTGTGTATTTTGAAGCAGATAACAGGGTTGAAATAACCTAGGTTATACCGGTTGACAAAGTTGTGGATGTTTATAAGGACGCACGGTGAGAAACGAAGATAACTAATTGCAAATAAGTGTTGGTAACCCACCTATGTTAAGAGGATCAAAAGAAGGAACTCCACACAACGGGACTGGACTATTACCACCACGGACGTATTTTCGATTGTTTTCAAGCTTACCAGCATCAAATTGGTGCAATAAGCATCAGCCTCACATACGCAGTAAGGCAGAAACACAAAGTGAAGAGAAAAGACCTCCACAAGTACTTGTGACCACTTTCACCTAACTTTAAGAAGCACCTTAATTAGCCTTACCTGCTACACCAAATGGTCACGCTAGTACGACAGAAGACATACGCGTTATCAAGGAGGATAGTCTCCATCAGGAGAATGGAATAAAAGTCGGGAACGAATACGACTTCTGTTGCAAAGCGGTATAGGTGCATTGCCAAAGCGTTTGCTGCCATTGAAGGCAGATGAGGTAGGCATCCATCTGACGATAAGAAAAAGAGTAGAACTTACTTAAATTCAAGCTACCATTAAGCTGCAAGAGATAAGGAAACAGTTAAGCGTGCTTTGAAAATCGTTCTCTTTTCACCTCCTGCTCAGGCTACAAAGGTGATAAGATGAACCCTGTTAAGAAATGTCATTCTTTTTCACCGGCTGTTAAATAGCATGTAAATTGAATCGATTCCAAAATATATATTAGCGGATCGCATTCTTATCTTGTATTTAGAAACTTGATTATGACGTTTTAAAATGGAAATTCCGCAATCAAGATTGGTCTGTTTATAATGCTACATGAAAGAAAAACTGAAGTCTGCACCCCTATTAGACATTTTAACGAAATTTATTCTCATAGTGCCTGAAGTATTTGTCAATCAGGTTTACATAAATACCAGCCATGAAACCAACCTTTCAGTGGTCTGTCCATTTCAGGATTTCCTTCACTCTCCTGCCCGTTTTCTTTCGCACGCACAGCTTTAAAGCATCCTGAAGAATCCTGCCAGGAGATTATCTCCTCCATCAGGGTCGGATGCGCCAGCTGGAAGTAGCCCCCAAGTCCACAGTAGACAACTGAAAGCAGAGGACAGCTGTAGCATAAGAAGTCTGGTAGACACATAAGTAAGTAATGTCCCATTAACATCAATTTTGGATTACCAAGTCTAGCTTACCTGAGAAAAATCACACTTTTGTATTGCAATAAAGATTGAAGCAAATTCATAAACATTGTCTTGACGCGGTTTAATTTGCAAACAGATGGATTTTGACTCAAGTGTATTTCGTTTGCTAACATTTGAGGCGTAACGAACGTGCCGTATTTGCATACAATTGATTTGTGGAAATTAAAAACACCTGTAAATAACCTTACTTATCTCGAGCACGTACAAAGGAAAAATTCTCACACAAATAGTACGTGATAGAAATTTGGAATATAATACTTGGCAGAGAACGTATTAAGTCTCCCAAATGTTTAGGCGTAAAAACAGTACGGCCATGGATTCGAGTTACGAAAAAAAAATGCCATTGTCAGGAAATTCACATCGAATAACGATTCATTCGTCGAGAAAAGCAAGACATATGTACTTAACAATAACTAATAATTGAAAAAAAGTAGAGGCAGAAAAAGGCACCTATATTTACTGATCCAGCTACAAAAACAAGACATAAAATGATGTAAACCCAGATAAGAAACTATACTGTAAAATGATGATAACAGAAAATCTTGCTGGCACTCACTCTGCTCCATTAATAAACTCCGAATATGCGTGGAGAAATTCCTTCTTGGGTAGTTTAGCTCGAATTCAGACAGCACCGAGTAGCAGAGAGTTTAACTTATTTGATAAACATCCATCCGTGTCAGATTTCTTGTTCAACAGTCACTCTATAAAATCAATTACAATGATAAAGTTGAGCTACTCTTAGAAGAGCCTGATAATAAAACACCTGGCGCGTTAGCTGAAGATTGCGACGTATTCCTCCAAAAAACATTTCCTCGCAAATTTTAGATATAACACAGCCAGCTTTCGTCCCATTGGCCAATTCAGCCAGACAATTTTCGTTTTGCGTCGAGGATATAACTTAAGTAGAGCTATGGACAATCTCAGAGTACTTGTAGGGCTCTCTGATACATACATTGTATTTCCCATATATGTATTCGCCTTCCATTCAAGCATGGAAAGGAAGCCGAGTTTATGCGACAGTATGTAGTCACTCATAGCGTCGAAGGAATTATTTATCAACGCTGACAATTTACATACACGCTTAATGATGTAAGGTGGCAATAATTCAGTGCGACAAATGTAGCCAATTGAGTCTAAAAGACAAGTAGCAAAAAATTACCACGAACCACGTAAAATAGCCAGTCCCAGTAGACTGTCTATGATGAGGCTTCTGTATTTGTTTCCATAAAACTTCACAGCCTGAGCAAGGGAATCAATACACCTACAAATCTTGTTAGTGTACGTTTCGGAACGAGGAAATGGCCACCCTTGTGTGGACTGCAGGATGTTGGAGAAGAATGTAAAAGTCACGAACACATTCACCGAAAGCATTCGCCCATCAGAAGCATCAATGGGCTAGTTGAGGACTACTAACGCTACAGATTGAATAGGGGCTCTAGGTCACCTGAGATTAGTATCCAAAGCAGACTTTATTTCAATCACAAAAGTGCTATTTAAGGGATTGTAAAAATAAGTTGCACTGCTATAAAATTATTTTGTGAACTAAGAGGTTGTGGGAGCTCTTATTGGCTTCCTACCTGTGGCAGTTATTATTTTCTTATAAGACAACAATTACCCATATGCGTGTTTTGTAGAGTTACCGGTCCTCAAATTTTGATTGATTTGTTGGATTGACTACTGCTTCCGAAGGCCAAAGTAAAACCACTTAAATTGGTGTACTGTTCACATTAATATTCTGCTAACACCAGGTCGTTTCGACACCTTGAATTCATAAATGCTATCAATGTTAAGATGCAGAAGTGGGTTGCTGAAAATCATTCCATAATGCTGACATCGCTCGGATGGATAAAAGAATGTAGCACATCTCCACTAGTTGCAATTATGCCAATAATCTGGAAATTATTATCTCTGTTCTTGCCATATTTTCACCTCCATTTTAAACATTTGTACGCAGTGATATTTGTAATGCTGAATCATATCTGTATTCAAAAAGTCTTTATTAGTAGATTTAACCATCCTTTCTTTGTCGGCTTGTAGCACTCACAGTCTTCATTTAGCTGTGATAAGGCAATGTTGCATAAAGGAACAGGAGCTAGTAACATAAGAAAGAGCTGAGAAGCTACCAGCATGGCTCGAAAACCGTGCCACAGAGCAAATGTGCAACCTACAGAGACCGAAGTGTCCACGTTATTGATCGCACAGTTAAACAAGGTGTCAAATCACTATACAGCTCCTCTCCTCTTCCAGGCATCGTCTTCAGACTCCCCTAGGCTACTATTCTGCATCAGTCACCACAACGTAGTCGGTGCCTTCAAAACCACCCACGAACTAGCGGCACCCCAATTGAATTTTCTCCCGA